CTATCCACCATGTGGATGTGGTATGAAATAATTTGGTCTCATTGTACAGAAGATGTCCAATAAATACACACAAACTGCATTGGGAAGGTTCCACTATCACATCTTTAATGTTGATAATATGATTGGATTTTTCACATTTTGTAAGTAATTAAACAGGATTGATGATCCATTTAAAAGATTCAGATAACCAGTCATTTATTTCATGTTGGTTTGTAGTTTGCACAATCCCACTAAGAGTCAGGGACTTTTATTTACAAAGCAACAAAAATCTGGAAGTTGAAAACTGCAGGAGGTCAGTTGAACTTTCTGGTTGGTCTGAGGGAGAAAGGAGACTGATCAGGAAGGAGTTGGTTGTTGACAACTGATTACTGATTGATCTGCTTACTTGAGAGATGAAGGGGAGGCAGCATGGATGTGTAGGGGTTTTATTTAGCTGACTTTGCAGACTGTGGCCCAGAGGTCCAGGAGAAGGTGAGTGAGATCTAAGAGCATTGGTACTTGCAAGAGAGGTCGTGCAGGAGAGCGGGAAGGCAGGTGATGAAGACTGAGAACTGCTGCACAGGTAAGACCTTTTCCATGAAGATCGGAAATGAAAAAAAAAAGTTTACTGGGTGCATGGAACAATAACAGAGTCAGCATCAAAAGAGATTAACAAGAAGACAAATTTCAACAAGATGAATATTCCTGGTTAAGGTCTTTGTCTGGAATACTATCAGAGGTAATCATCCGGCAAACAGAGATGATTCTTCGCCTCCTTTTATACTGGCACGTCATCTTGATTGAAAAATGTTCTCAGGTGTGCTGCAACACACTGCACTGAAACCTTCCATATCAATTCCCTTTGCACCATAACATTAAACTGGTTTACCTTTATAAACAGAACTGTTCATTTTACTGCTGTAAGCTGTTCATTTACTGTTGAAAAGCTGTATGCATTGACATATTGTTTTGTATGCACTCTGTTAATACAAGATGAAAATAAAGTTTGTCTAAGTAACACGGGTCAGCTTAGCCACCGCAAAGATCCTCTGTGTGACAGGAAGCTCACTCTCACAAGAAAAACAGAAAAAAAACCCAGAGATCCTAACAATTAGCTGGATAACAAGCACGGAACCTTAATTGTCATGTACTAAAACATGAAACATAAAATCGCTCATTCAAACAATTTTGTCTCAAAGACTAACCAAACTAAACCTGAGGCCTCACATTTCCTTTGAGTTCTTTTTTTATTTCTCTTCTTGTTCAAGACTTCTGAAAATATTTTCCTTTTAATTAAGGTGATTTAAACCCTTAGCAACAAAGACAGAAGACGTTGCCATTTAGAATAAAACTTTTTTTTTTTTTTTTATCCACAGGCCGTTAATTACAGGTTGCAATTAGTGCAACAAGCCTTCATCTTACCATGCCATGAGCAATTTTTGATTATAAACTCTGCAGGCTATTATTCTGAAAGTCACCATGTTAAATGATTTGTGGTTACATAGGAGTTGCCATGGCGCCACAAATGAAACATTTTCATGATTTAAGCCTGTGTTTTTTTCTTTAAAAATAAATGCTTTTTAAAGAGAAAATGTTTATATAAGGACTAAATAACAACCTGTTTGCATGAGACAGGAAGCAACTTCTGCCTGCTAAATGCTTTTGATTTGACGTGTATAGAAATATAAAACTCTTAATAGTTCCTTGGTGCAGACTATTGAAAATGACCTTCCCTTTGAGGGAGAGCAGGCTCTGACATGGTGGTGCATTATGCAGAGGAATCCTGATTTGAAAAAAACAAGCCTTGAGGAAAAAATGACATACCTCCCCTTTACTGTCATCATAACTGAGCAACTTCTTGAAATGCCAACAATCCCGCCGTACATCCGTCCGTACATCTCAAAAGAAAGACTATCTGTTCACTACAAAATTGTCAACAAAGGACTTAAATTCCTGGTTCACGGCTTTTTTTTTTAGCTTCAAAAATTATTTTTAACATTCACTCCAACAAATCGTAGTCACAGTACTGTACCTCTGTGAGTAGTTTTGTTTTGACCTACTGGTATTGGTTTAATCTGAGTTTAATGAAAAGATATAAATGATCATGAATAAATATAAAGTTAAGCTAAGAATTAAATTTAAATTTCAACACCAGCTTTCAATTTATTGAAGCTGTGAAATATTGATGTCAGAAAGATAATCACTCATGCTCAGTCACTGTTAATGCTTATCACACATGTACCTCTGTATAGAAGAGAGAACATAGTTAAACTTCACTTCTTGAGCAGTCAAGCTTTTGTGTACTTTTAATTATAGCGGGCTTTCTCCTGGATGAGTAAAATCCCTCTGACATTTGATGTGCAGTACAGTGATCCAGCCTTTGTCACAAATTGATGAAAAGTAATGTTTGACTTCAGGGTCACATTCAGCAATGCAATATGCAGCACTTTAATCTTCTAAAGGTTGGTATATAACAGAATGTAGGTGAAAAGAAAAGCCTCTTTTTCATGCTTGGAGGCCTTAAAGTCAATGCTTCCCAAAGGGTTAAATATCGCCAAGAACCTGTTTATAACTGTCTGAGGAATAATTAAAATGAAAAACTGGTTTACTGGTAAAGGTAAACATGGCTATATTATAATCAAACAGCTTGGTTTCTGACCTTCATAAAAAAATAAAAAGAAAGAAAGGATAAGCATCAACATGAGAACTCATTTATTCACATCTGTTTGTTTTGTTTTGTTTTGTTTTGTTTGTTTTTTTTATCTAACAGAGCCAATCCAGTTCTTGCTTTGCAAAACTGGAGAAATCTCCACAAGTATATGGCATTGGACAATAAAAGACAGAAAAAATGTACCTTGTCCTATGCTGCTTGTTTTCTGCTGCCTTCTGAAAGTAAAGGTCAAAATTTGGACCACCAACCACAGCTGATGGTGGTGGTATAATGGTAGGGGACTACCATTATACCACCAGTACTAATAGTACCTGTCTAAGTATTGCTTTTAACCATATCCTTTTGTATATGAACCCAGTATACCCACCTTATGTGGGTTGCCTACATGGAATAACATTCTCTTGCCAACTCAACAGCTGTCTCTCATGCCGAATGCACCCAGAATCAGAGAGGAGGAAAATCTTCCTTTTAACAGGAAGCTTTCAGCAAAACAAGGCTCAGAGTGAATGGCGTTTTACTGAGGCTTAAGCCTTACATTTACTGGGGTTTCAAGGAGAGAGAAGCAAACATACCAAAGGACCACAGAGACACTGATCCATAAATACTTTCTGTTAGAATAAGGAACAATAAATTAGCCCAATAGCTGACTCTGTATAGAAAGAAAACAGTTTGTCAGATGAGCTCTGACACAGTTTTCATGCCAAAGGGGATGAAAAAGAACACATACAGTTAGGGGTTTAAATAATAAAAAATGAGTAATTGGAGAATAGAAATAGGATTAAGCAGAATAACAAAAAGTGGTCTCTATGCCCTCCAGCGGCCTAATCCTATATCAGCATATCTGTAGAGATACTTATGGACAACCTGAGCCACTGTCAGCAAAAGCTTAATCAGAAAGGAAAGTTTTAAGCCTACCCTTAAAGGTAGACGGGGTGTCTTCCTCACTGACTAAAACTGGTAGTTGGTTCCATAGGAGAGGAGCCTGATAACTAGAAGATCTGCCTCCCATTCTACTTTTAGAAATTCTAGGAACCACTAGTAAACCTGCAGATTGAGAGCAAAGTGCTCTATTAGGGACATAAGGAATGATCAGATCCTTAATACAAGATGAAGCTTGGCCATTTAAGGCTTTATGTGAGAATGAGGATTTAAAATTCTATTCTGGATTTAACAGAGAGCCAATGGAGGGAGCCAAGATAGGAGACATGTCAACTCTCTTTAATTTTCTTTAAAACTGTGGTCGCTGCATTTTAAAAATTACAATTTGTGGACTTCCTAAAGAAAAGAATTAAAATAATCCGGTCTCGAAGTAACAAATGCACAGGCCACTTTCTAAGCATCACCGTGATCAACTGTATCAAATGCAGCTCTGAGATCTTACAAGACAAGTACTGACACTAGTCCACAGTGAGGCCATTAGAACATAATGAATTACTTCCATCAGTGCTGTTTCTGTTCTATAATGAGCTATAAAGCCTGACTGAAGCCCTTAAAAAAGGTAATTAGAGTTTAAATGGTAACACACTTAATTAACAACAATTTTCTCATAAATATTAGATTTAAAAAAAGTTTAGTCTAAGTCTATTAGTTAAAGGTTTGTAACTGATCAAGTCATTTGGATGGAGATACGATTTCTTAGGTAAGGAAGTTTTGTCTACCTAAAAATATATTTTTTTTCTCCTTTCTACTGTATTTTTGCTTATCTTAATTATTCAGTGTTTGAGTTTGAGGTGGTTTCCATAAAAAAAAAAAAAAGTCTTTCCTTTTTATTTTCAGCAGCTAAAGACTAAATTAAACAAGACCCATAATGGAAGTGTAGGTAATGCAGGATATGTTTGCCTGGCTGCCTTTTATTCGCATATTAATACATGACAGAAAATGTTTAACTCCCTTTAAGATCAGGGGTCTAAGATTTAGACCACTGCTGCAACTTTTGAAATAAACTGTAGTACCACAAAATGACCAGTAGATGTCTCTTTGGTTCATTAAGGTGGGGATGTTGTATCATGTTGCGTCTGAGCTTCTTCAGCATTAAAAAATGCGGCAAACACTAGAGGAAAATAGTTGCTTTGGTTTATGGCTGTAAGTTTGATTAATATTTTGCTTAGAAGAGCAATTACTATGTTTCTTTTTAAATACAGATAAATGAACAGATGTACCTGTTATAAAGGAGATGAATCAATGTTTTTATAAGTTATTCCATTAACGATCAAAAAACTTGAGTATTCTTGGAAAAAGATGTTAAAAGGTGAGGCAAATTTAAATTCGGATAAATGGATGTTCGGAAAAACAGTTAAATAGGTGGATTTTTTTTTTCCTCTAAAAGCTGTTCCCCCACCCACGCTCCCCCACCTAAGCAAGCGCTCCCTATCATCATCATCATCATCATCGCTCCCTCATCCTCCCAGAGCTCCGTGGAAAGAAACACTGACTGCTTCAACATGGATCTGATGAATTTTCTCCTTTTTCTAGGAATCTCAGCCTGCACAATTCAAGGTAGGCACTTCCTGTGTTCTAATCACTGATCAACTTTCAGAGGAGATAGAGAGCATGTTTATTAGAAGGAAGCAGGTGGTGTTTTCTTTATCCTGTGGTATTTATGCATTTAATGTAAATAGAATTATGCTAAATATCTTGATTGAACACATGGCTGTTGGGTCCAACAAGGATCTTAATTGCTTATTTGTCCTGGTGTTTAAATTAAGTGAATTTGAATAATTGAAATAGACTGGGGAGTTAGCTTCACCTGTATTACCTGTTAGGTATATTTGAAACTCCTGGACTTGCATAACTTAGGTCCAAGGAATAATAATTAAAAAAAAGGTTTGTAAGAAAGCCTACTAAAATAGTGTAAAAGCAAGAATCTGTTTTGTTTCAGCAGATACAACAAGCAGCAACCAACACATTTTCTTTAAGCCTATATCTGTCAATATTATATTCTAAAACTAATTATAAAACTAACTTTCATATATTACCTCTTTTCCATTTCCATTTTATCTTTGGTTAAAAAAAAAAATCTGTATAAATTTTATATTTTGGAACTGGTCAACGTGTTTTCAATGATGCTGGGGAAGATTCTCAGTCATCCAGGTCATCGTCATTCCAAAGATGTTGAAAAACAATCCACTGGACTTTGTTTCCAAGTTTGAAGACGTTTCTCTTCCCTCCAGGAAGCTTTTTCAATTCAAATTGTAGAAACCAAACAACCTCTCCACAGACTGGAGAAGATTCTGCAGCACATTTACACATCATGGACAGAGGACATTCTTTTGAGGTCCAGAATGTTCACATTTTGGACAAAGAAAATAATTGGTTTTAGAGGGGAGTAAAGGAGGGTTATATGTAAAGACAGAAAAACCAACCGTAAGAAATAGAGGGGGTGGACTCAGATTTCAGCTTTCAAAGACCTACAATGCAGCAATTGAGTTAATCCCTTCCTTCTGTCATTGCAACCCCTTTACAGGGGAACAGAAGACCCCATCTATTCAGCCAGGCCAACAATTCCCATAAACAACCCCCATTCAGAGACATAGACAGGTATGGGGCTTTGCAGGCTAACAAAGAAGCCAAACAACCCCCATTTCGTTCGTCCGTTTCAATTTGCATGTTGTCTGAGCAAAAACCAGGCTTTGTTGGGTTACTGTATAAAGCAACTCAATGCTATTTCTGACGTTTGAATTGAAAAAGTCACCTGGATGGGAAGCAAAACATCTTCAAACTTGGGTTGTTTTTTTAACTCTTTTGGAATGTTATCAATGATGTAGACATGAAAGGGGGAACTCAACTGCCACCCTGAGATTATTAAAGGCCGCTCATCTGTCCTCTGCTTTTGATAACCTTCTTATGGACTGCAAAAACGATCTGGAAATAAGTCAAAATGTCTTAAATTAAGGGTTTTTACCCTTAATTTGAGTAGGTAAATAAGATGATTTGCCAATGGAATGATGATTTTTACTCTTAAAATAAGATAATTAGATAATGTATATTTGAAACAAGACAAATATATATTTTTTTCTTATTTTAAATATAAATTGTCTTGTTTCATTGGCAAAGTGTCTCACTTACCTCCTCCATGTAAGAAAAAATGCACTTATTTTAAGAGAAATAACTTATCTAGATTTCAATTTTTCCAGTGTGGCTGTTTCATATGCAAGTTTCAGTCGGCCAGCAACTAAACTTCTTGCCGCCTCTGCTGATGTGTTATCTGTGTGGCTGATTTAGGAGGGGACCTGCAGAGGAGTGCACTAATGAGTCAACTAGACTGAAGATGTCAGCAGAGCATGTTTTAGGTGGCCTGTATATTCTGGGGACAGATCGGCAGATGCAAACAGAAACACCCACAAAGCTCCAGATTTAATAGGCCCTCATGGACGAAAAGGCAAAAAGAAAAACTTGAATATAAAGCTGGGTGACACTGTACTCATTGTGCCTTTTGCTGCAGCATCTGTAGACATTTTTTTCTTTTATTACTCAGTCTAGAGAGAAATATTAAAAAATCCAAAGTTCTGGTATTGTTTTGAATGTAGTTTTTTTTTTCCTGCAGCATTCTATGCAAAGACAATCAGTGGTTCTTCAGCTTTAGAGGCGCTTGATTGTTAAAATATAACTTGTGTGTACATGCACATTGCTACTCACATCAATGTCTGAGCCCCTCTTGAGTAAATAATGCTCTTGTCCTCTGTTCTGCTGTGCTGGTTGAAATTGATTATAAAGTCTAAAGGCTTTGCTTTTGTCCTTTTAGTGCTCTGAGCTCATTTTGAGCAACATTTAAATGGAACCAAAGCTGCCAGAAATGCCATCTGTGATTTGTTGGCAGACGATATTTGTGCATTGTGTTACAACATACCCCCTACAGATGACACCTTGTTGATTCACGTAGTGAAACTTAAATACGGTGGGATCCGGAAGAGTAGGGAGCATCAACTGGGTTTTATTTTACCGCCTTAACTAAGAGAAGCTGTCAGCGAATCTTTTATAATGAAAGAACTCGATGAAAATATGTCTACAGAGAGCACACTCTCAGCCAAATCATCAGGATAATGTGCTTCTCATAGGTGGTTTTGGATAATTCGGCTGCAGCCATTAGTGAAGTGAAAGGATGGAGCCAAAAACACTCCATAACTCAAAACGGCAAATGAGAGTGTGTTAAAATGAGAGACAGGTTTGACTTGAGATTTCACTGCAAGATGAATCACATTTAGGTTCTGGAGGTGGATGAATGGTTTGCCTCTGCTGGGCGCCTTTTAGTACCACAGATCTAACAATACCAAAGCTGAAAAACCCTTTTAATTTGAATACCTGACACAAAGGGCACTTAACAGCCAAAAATACTGAAATAACAAATTAATTAGCAAGATCTGGTTCTAAGATTGTCTTAAGTTCTCCTCTGCAACATCAGAGTATAAATCTTAGTAGTTACTCTGGTTGTTAAGGATTCAAAGAGAACAGATTTAGTGGTTTTCTGACACCAAACCCGCAGATCTTACCAGGTTTAACCCTAAGTTTGGTCAAAATAGAAACCAGTAATGCAGTGTTCAGTTCAGTCCATAATTATTGCTGCATCTTAAAAAAAATTGGTTGTATTTTGTTTGGAATTTGTCCTTCTTATTTTGTTTTCAACTTAAGTTAATTTTATGGAGATTGTATCTAAGCAAGCAACACAAACTATTTTATAACTAATAAAAGAATATGAAAAGATACATAGTTTCTATTTGTTTCAATAATGCATTTCACAAAAAGTTTGTAGACTGTGTTGTTTGATATTCTGTTCCTCTGGGGCTTTCTGCAGGACTGTTTACCTCACTCAGAGCTGCAAGACCTTTTAAGGGCTATGTATGCCTCTACAAGCGTTGTAGATCTAGAGACTAAAGATCAACTGATACAGGTTGCTTTAAGGCCAATTCCCATACTGATAACTTTGGCATCAGTCTAACCAATCCTTGATATTTGCTGCTGTTTTTGCTGCTGAAATTGATATTTCTTTTTTTTTTCTTTTATTACATACATAATAAAAATGCAAAATGATAAATGTTAAACTGGTCTCAGTGTAAACAAAATATAACAATTTATTGTCATATTGAACTAAATATTAACAATTGATAACAAATTGAGGGAGGGCGATTGTGTTTCATGTGTTTCAAAGGGATTGCTGCTGAAAGAACAAATTAATTAGTAGGGCTGGGTATTTTCCCCAAAGTCCTGAACCGATTCGATTTTGATTCATACAGTTCTCAATCGATTATATTATTATAATCTGTTTTTACATTAATGAAAGTGGTTCAACTGTGTTTCAAAATACTCATGTATTTTATTTATTTCCTGTCATATTAAACACAAAGTGCAAACTTGTAAATCAGACAGTTTAAACTTGAGATGGGAACAAAACTGTCTCAAAAGTGCAAACTTGTTTGGGAAAAGTGAAAAAGTGAAGCCTCACATAGGCAAGCAGACGTGACAGAACGAGGACCCAGCAGACATGCATGAGCTGCATTATCTGCACTGCACAAACCATATGTGGAGCGTTGTCTTTAACAACTACAGGGTGTTTGCTGGTCAGCCTCCATTTTTTAATGTCTTCAGTCAACCTACTGGGTATTTTTGCAGCTGTCTGTCGTGAAGTAATCTTGAGAGCATCTTTTCTGCTCATTTGAATGTGAACGTCATGCGTGTCTCTATAAAACAAATCGATCTCATTTCCTAGACATCGATTTTGCAAAAATGTAAAGGAATCGATTTAAAATCGATTAAATCGATTTTTTTACCCGGCCCGAATACTAAGTAAAATCATGTCTGCATAGGCCAATAGGGATACAAGAAATAAAACACTAAATATCAGCCAAATTTATCAGACAATGATGTATCAGCGTTAAAACATGGTGACTTGATGTAGAGAATCTGCAAACATACATTTTGCAGTTTTGATCTTAACCAAGCAGTTGTAGCTCTGGGTTTCATTTCAGTTGGTTTCTCATATTTAAAGTCGAACCTCTGCCTGGTTCCTCTAAATTAAGCTCCCTCTGTCTTCCTTAAACCTTGGACCAGTTTTTCATGGTAGAAATTTTATGAAAAAAATATTTGCCAGCAATGTTGATCTCTAAACAGTAAACTGGTCAACTTAAAATAATTAAAATAAATACTCTTGAAAGGTGGTATTTATGGAAATAACAGTCTGTTACCATTTACGACAACTGCTTACTGCAGTTTTTGTTTCTCTTGTCAACTATTAAATAGGGATGGAGTGAAAAATTACCTGTAAACTAAAGGAGAGCCGAGCAAGAAGAGTTTGGATACATCACTAGGGCATTTGTGAATCCAGTTGGATGTACTGCATTTCTCTTTCTCCATTCGTCCTTCATCAGAGTAAAGGAAGTGTTTACTGTTTATGAATATTAAGCCTTAGTCCTTTCATTCATTTCACTGAAGCTCATGCATTCACTCGTTTTTTTTTCTTTCTTATTCCTAACAGATGCTTTATGCCCTTAATCCACAGAAAACATTCTAAAAGTGAAGAAACAGCAGAGTATGAATGACAGAAATGTGTTTGTTGTGTTGAATTGGTGTAAAAGAACAACCCTGAGAGGATTTTAATGCATGTCTTTATGCTTTTTGATTCTTTGGTTTAAACTGAGCACAGGAAAGCTGCTCCAATTAAATAATTTCTACGTGCATCTGTGTTCATGCATCATTTCAGGCTTTGCAATCTTTGCCTGCATGATCTTCCATCTGCCATACCTTTGCCATAGCCTTTGCCATCTTGGATTCTGTGTATGTTCAGCTTAAAGAGAGACATTTTAGTCTGTATTTATTTCATAAATGCTCCTTAAAAATATCATTTTTTTTTTCTTTCACACAAACCACAGAAATAGCTATATGAATGAAAAATGTGATTAAACATATTAGGATTAACATAATTCTGGCTAAAGATTCACTCTAAAGAATGCTAAAGAATTAGAAAAAGAGAGATGCTGTAGAATGCACCGAGATACTGAGTCAAATTTGTTAACATAATGAATATTTGTGACACAGACAATCTCAGATTTTAGCAGATTATAGCCAGCTGACACAGTAGCCTTACTGCATACCTCTGGTCAAGGACAAACAGCTGTGTCTTGCTTTACATATTTTCATTCTCCAAATGCTTTTTTTTTCATGGTTTGTATTTTTTTAAATATTGATCAGGCTTGTTGTTGTTTTTAGATACATATGTAGTTGAATTCACATTTTTATGTTTTAATGTGCCACTTTTAACCCCTTTATTCGTCTCATAGCTATTAACTCAATTGAATTCACTGGGTTTTTGGGTTGGAGCATTTGGCTCAAAGCATTAAGTTTCTAGGTCCAACATGGCTGTTCTTTTTGGAGTTGGCAGGTTTTCCTTCATGCATTTGGTTTCCTCCCTGTTTTTACCAACCCCAGTCCAAAAATACGAATAGTTCTTTTGCTATCTGTTTGTTGCATGATGGACAGATACACATTCAGAGTTGACTCGCCTTCTTTCCCATTGACTGCTGATGACATAGAAGGACCAAAACACAGAACACAGCCCTGATCTAGTTTAAACAGGTGAAGGTGGATAAATCATTTAATTACTTTTACATGTGTTTCTGAAATCACCATATCAAGCCATCATTTCCATCCATCCATTTTCCGTCACACTTATCTCAAGCGGGGTCACAAGGAGTGCTGGTGCCTATCTCCAGCTGTCTACTGGCACAATCGCCAGTCCCTCTCAGGGCAACACAGGGACACACAACCATTCACACACACACTCACAGCAAGGGAGAATTTAGAGAAGCCAATTAACCTAACACTCATGCTTTTGGACTGTGGGAGGAAATGAAAGAACATAAAAACCCCATGCAGAAAGACCCGGAATCGCACCTAAAACCTTGTTGCTGCAAGGCGGCAGTGCTACCCACTGCATCACTGAGCAGCCCACCATCATTTTCATGGGAATAAAATAATATTTTATTAGTCCATCCATCCATCCATCCATCTTCCTCCGCTTATCCGGGGTCGGGTCGCGGGGGCAGCAGCTTAAGAAGGGAGGCCCAGACTTCCCTCTCCCCAGCCACTTCTTCCAGCTCTTCAGGAGGAACCCCAAGGCGTTATTAGTAACCAGAATATAAGCAATAAAAAAAAAAAGTAGTTGTGATCTAACCCAATTTGAAAGTGTGTTTCTTATATATTTGTTGTGTTATTCTGCAGTTTCTCATCAAGGTCCAAGCCAGCGAAAACTGTACAGTGACCTGATGACTGCTTACAACCCGCTGGAGAGACCAGTTTTCAACGATTCTCAAAGCCTCACGGTTTACTTTGGCCTCAGCCTCATGCAGATCATGGATGTGGTGCGTCAATTATCAGTGATTAAAGCCTAAACCTGTTTCTGTGGCAACCAAAATCGAGTCTAAGGCAAAAACATATTCACTTTCCAATGTTGGTAAACAAGAAAATCAGCGAAAAGTGCACAAAGCAATTTTATCCACAAATGTCTTTAGACATTATTTAAGAACTAAAACGTTGATTAGTAAATCTGCTTATCAAAAATATGAGATTTTTTTATTATTTGTTTCTATTTCTAAAATTCAAAAAGAAAGGAAATGTGAATGTAAACAGCTTGGTATGAAAATAATGTGTTATTAACTGGCCCTACATAAATAAACAGAATTGATATTGAATCGAATGTATTTATCAACAGGATGAGAAGAACCAGGTTCTAACAACCAACATCTGGCTTCAGCTGGTAAGAAATTCCCTCGATAATGTATAAAAAGCTGCATTGAAGATAGTTAAGTTATAAGACTTCATATCACTAATTTATGAAACACAAATGCTTCCAGCTAAACCTCTATTGTAATGTTTTGTGCTGTTTTCACCATTGTACATTTTTCCACTTGTTTGCTGGATCCCTAACATCTCCCACATGAGCTGCGGATCTCTGCAGCTCCTCTGGAGTTACTTTTGGGTTCTTCAGTGCTTCTCTGATTAACATTTAGCTTGCATCATTAGAGAGGATGACCTGTTTAATATACACAAATACCATTCTTAGGCCCTGTACAATGCTTTTCTTCATTTTTGTTTTGTTTTTTATTTTGTATATGTTGATATGTGAACAAGACTGCAGAATGCTCATCTTTCATTATATACAGTTTATTTTACATAAACTTACTCCAAAAATCAAGGTTTTAAGCCTTGAAAGAAGTGATTCATTTGTCAAATAGTGGAACGGAAATATAATTATTTTGTGCACTTAAAGGTGCTGTTCTCATTTAGAGGTGAGGGGTCTTTTCCCTCCGTCGTTCACAGGGGCAATAAACCTCTTTCTCCGTCATATGGTGAAATTAAGTGTATGAACACAGATGCTTTATAGCTGCTTGTCCATTTTGTGACACTATACATCCCTGCTGCTGCATCGTCAGCAAACCCTCCCAAGGCTGCTTGGCCTGGTTTAAATCACCCTGTGGGATCCCAGCGGCAGTCTATCCAACCCCCCACTTGCTCAGCTGGAAGTTCAAGTACACATTCACACACATAGAAGCCCCTTCAGACAGCAACTTCTGGATCAGCCATCTATTGGCACTGATTTAGTGTTCTTGGGAAAGATCCCAGGAGAAAAAGTGATAAAGTCCTATGCATTCAATATTAAAGGAAAAGTCGGGTCACATTCAGAATACAACCTTCTGAAAGTAATTTAAGTATGAAATTATTACACACTGTTCAATAAATGATAAGTGTTTTTAATTAAGAGTAATTTTCATTTGAATGTGCTTTACTGGAGACATCCATGTTTGTCAACACTACTGCCACCTACCGGTTTGTGACGTCACGGTGCGGTATCGGCCTTTGAGCAAGTCCCAGTGCTGTATCTGGTGTTTGTCACAACACGCTATTATACAAGTCATCTTGAAAACATTATTTTTCAAAATGACATGTTATTTCTCTGGCCAGAAGTTCGATGGCAAATCCTCCCTCTTCAAGTTGGCCATCCAACGACGAACCCGTCCATGGAGAATCATGAATCAGAAAGGTGAAATAACTAATGTTTTTTTTCACTTTTACCTGATGTATTCCAACATCCAACTCCCATGCATGTGGGCATTGTCAGTTTCACTATAGCTCTGGTGAATTTCAATGGTGAAGTCCTCTGGAAATCTTCAATAATTGTTGTTGATTGCAGATGTGTCTAGTAGTTCCCATTGATTTTGCCTGTAAAGTGGGGAGAATGGCGCTAGGCTTACCGCACCGTGAGGTAAATGCTGGAAGATGTCAGGAGTGAGGTGTTACTATATTTGGGTAAAAATGGCCGCTGCTGGACTCAGGGATCGCCACAAAAAATAATGTTTTTATTTTTATACTGATTAACGTTAAATTCATTAACTCACCTTGAACGTATTAGTCTTAGGTATAAATAATGAACCATTGATTATTACTTGCTGAACGGACTTTTCCTTTAAAGGACTTTGCAAGCACAAATTTACTCCTTTTTTTTTTTTAAGTGTCCTGTCTGGCAATGTGGCAATAAAAATAACAAGAATAATTGTCTTGATACCAGAAAGAACCCAACTGATTTTGCTTTCGCCATATTGTTCCCCTTGATTTATGCATGTAAATAGCTTTATTATAATTTATGCAGGGAGTATTTCAGATTATATGGACACTGCAATGGGAAAAACAGGAAAAAGGATAAAAGATGAAAGAAGTAGATAAAAGGGAGACAATGATAAAACGTCTTTTGTCTGCTTCATCACCTTCAAAGGGAGATGTAAAAAGAACAGCACAACCAACGGATATAGTATAACAGATACAATAAAGTAACACCTTGATAACATCACTGAAGTATAAGTGCAATAAATTCAATCATTTTGAATCAGAGAGGTCACCAAAAACAAAAACTTAATATGTATAAATTCCCATAATGTCTTTATTATAGAAAGACATTATGTAAAGTTGGCTTTAGTTTAAAGGCATTGGCAAAGCATTTCGTTTAATTGCCTCACCTGCTCGGTCATTTAGGAAAGGCATGTAGGCAGCTGTATCCGCTAGTCTACCTTCTTTCAGCGTGCTTCATTCCCCCCTTTTCAACAACCGAACTTTATGCTCTTTTATTATGATGACAGCCATTGTTTGAATATCAAGGTGTGAATTAATTAAAGCTGGACTGAAGATCTGATTTAAAAAAAGAGCGTTCGTTAAAAGGTATTATTAAAAACATATCAATCATGAGTGGACCATGCATGTATTCTAAGCCCCGGTTATAGGTGTAGTTTTCTCATAAGCTTATTGACGCATTTTCATATTAACAAAAAATGCTACATTGAATAGTGTGTTGCTCTGAAATCAAGTAGATTAAACTTCTCAATCAACTTGTTTGGATCGTTGCATTTATTTTAGTTATTTCACATTAATTTGATATTTATGAGTGGAATAATTCAGCCGCTCAGTTTGCTCCAATCTTCGCTGCAAACATTCAGAGTGAACTAAAGTAATTATATTGATCCCTTGACTTTTCCTCCTTCTAGTGTTATTATGCACCATTATAATGCCAAACACCTAACTGCTCTCAGTATGGTATGTAATGACAAACATAATTTTACTCCGACATGCTGCTGAAGATTAAAATTTGCCTGAAGCTGCTGCCACAGATTTTTTTGTCAAGTTGAAGTGTCGCTGGAATATGAGAAGCTCTCTTAAATCCCCAGGCTTACCAAAGTGGAACTCCAGAATGTGTAGGAAATGTGTCTGAGGAATACATAATGATTTTATGTTTGGCAGTACTGGAATGACTATTACCTCCAGTGGAATCCATTGGACTATCCAGGTGTGACCAATGTGAGATTTCCAGACCATCTCATCTGGAAGCCCGACATTCTGCTGTACAACAGGTAGGCTTCAAACCCTCAGGCTTTGTTCTGCTGTATAAATGGACGTAATAATGATGTCAGACTCATAATGAATACATTGCACCAACTTCATATATTTAACATCACAGACATTGTGTGGAGGTTATATTTGCTCCTGTGTGTTTCAGCCTTTTTGGAAAGTCAGACTTTAATGTTTATTTTCTGTCATGCACAGAGGGGAAAAAAAGCACATTTATAAAATTATATTCAACAGATTAGGATATTTAATCAGCTCAGGGTTTTTTTTGTCAGGTTACAGCAACAACTTTATAACAGGTGTTAAACATACTTTTCTCTGAGCATACATTTTCTGTGGAAATGATGTTTTTTATTGGTCTGATTAAACTTCTAATCTTGAATTTCATAGCTCAATTAGCAGCAAAATCTTAATAGAAACAGCTGCTTTAAAACATCATTATGTATTAAATAAATAATCCTTCAATAATATTCCAAATCATAAAAAGGGTTAGTTGTGTCCACCTGTGTTAATAGAGGATTAAAAGCTTTGCTATTGTAGCAACTTGCTGATTGATGAATATCTTTATAGTTATAAAAATGAAATAACCTCAGGTCAGTTTTTGTTATGTTTTTTGTAAAAACTTTTATTGCCCTACTTTGACTTTTTATCAGGGTTTTAATACAGACTTTATTGTTTAAAGTTTTTTTTTTTATCCCTAAACTTCCTATTAAAACTTTATTTAAATTCAGTTAATTTCAGTTCAGTTCAATTCAGTTTAAAATGCTTAATTAAGTCAAAATTTATATGAATTAAATTCAGTTTATTTCTATAGCGCCAATTCACAACATGTCATCTCAAGGCACTTTACAGTTCACCAGATCATACAGTCAAATTGATTCAAAGTTTTCTATTTAAGGAAAACCAGTTGATTGCATCAACTCATTGACTCGGTTGCTTGTAGCGACAGTGGTGAGGAAAAACTCCCTTTTAACAGGAAGAAACCTCCAGCAGAACCAGGCAAAAAAGAATTCAAAAGCTGCAGTAACTCATATATTTTTGTTGCATATGTTGAAAGCTGTTGTCAGGAAGGATCATTTGCAGCGGTCTGTTTTGCAGACAATCTAAAGGAGACTTAGACTCAACACTCTTTGTTGTGGTTTAACACTCTTCTAAAGATGATGCTCATGGCTGTCCGTGATCTGCTTCATTTTATGAGGAATTCCTCTTTGTAAAATCAGCTCTGTAGTTTCTAGAGGAGTTTCAAGGACTCAGCTTCTTTATCACGTTGTTCAGCTTCTTTAAGTCATGATAAGATGTAGCTCTACGTTTTATTAATCTGGGAATGCTTCAGTTGAATTTGTTTGAACCATTCGAGTTGATCAGGGAAACGTAAACCTAGTGTCTGCCTACTAAAGATTGCTTTTAGCCAATCATGGTGGACAATGAAATAGCATCAAAAGCCATGGGAAACCATAGAAACTTACACGCCCTTGCTGTTCCTTTTTGAACGATTAAATCTCGAATAATGACAAAATAGTTGTGATAGCAGCAGCTGCACAAATATCCTCCTGTGCTGCCATGTTTGTTTGGTTCAGCTGTTGGTTCTGCAGCGCTTGTTTTCTTTTCCAGGCATGAACCATAATACTGTAACCTCATTGGCTGACCTGTTTGGGGTCGATCTCAAACATTTTAAGCAGGATTCACATGTGTTTGCAAACGCATATAAACAATGAGCCATTTTTAACATCTTGTTCAATTAGTGTTTGATCCTCCACAGATTTTCTAGGGAGTTAATGTGAAGGATTGTTGCAAGTCTATGGGCAAAATTTAGAAAAGCAGAAAAAACAAGCGCTCAATGATCCCTTTTAAAAGTTTAATGACCCTCATTTGTGCAGCTCCTGATTGAGTCACTAGTTATAGGAAGATGCCTGCAGCGCCTCAGTTCACTGAATAATATTATTTATTCTGATATCCCTGCAAACAACAGTTTTGTGGAAGCTTGACAATCCTAATCAGCAGATCTTTTATCTGCATCAGCAGCGGGAAAACATGAGTTAAGCTCTTAGAGTAAGATTTATAAACAGCACCTGGAAACATAATAAGGACAACAGTGTTAAAGAACTGACTTGTTCATGTTTATGGATTTATGGTAAAATAATCATATGTAAGCACTGACCTACTTAACATGGTGATGGATGATTTGAAAAGCAAACTGCAGGAAGACAAGTCAGCTCCTATTATTCAGATGCTAATTTGCTGTTTTAATAATGATAATCAATGTTAGAGGTCACTGCATGAATTCATTACAATGATATTTGACCTCTGCATGTAAGCCCTCCCTTAGAGAGCAGTGGGCAGCTTTGGCCTAAGTGTTTTTCTCTGGAAGCCGAGTGGCTAACTGTGGAGTTTAAACCTGGTACAGTACTTAGAGCCATTTTCAGAATGCAAGCACTGCTCTAAGCACTAGGCCACTCCACAACTCTGTTGAGGACCCTTTCTTTCAGTATGGGGTTTTGGTTTGTTTTGAAAGTAGTTCCTTTTTCTGGTTTTAAGGGTTAGCACCCATATTTGTCTCAGCACAAGTAAAAACAAAAAAATTATTTGGACCCTCTAACACCAATCAGGCAAAGAAAGCAGTTTAACTGAATAGGCTCCTAAATTAAATGTTTTCCCACTCCTATTTTACTTTTGTCTTCAAAATGAAGCAATAAGCCTTATCCATTTGCAGTACAGCTTTGAATCAAATGTCCAAAGTTTGTGAAACACACAGAAAGGTCATCTTAGGCAATAATTCCAAGATAGAAAAAGTAAAACCTCTAATCAATCAATAGTTGTTTAATAATCCAAAATGTCAGACCAGCGTCTGAGACATGGTGACAGCTGCTGTAAAAATCTGTTTATATGCAGTCATAGCAGTTTGCATCTTGTTGAATCTTTGATCAACATAACATCACAACAGATATCCATGAACGTGTTCCTTCAACTTGAATGTATAGAATATAGGGATGATCTTTCCTGTTTTTTTATGTCAAGCCCAGATCCTGTTATAAACCACAGATTAACTAGAATCCTTCTGATGTAGAAATTAGCACCTTTTAATTGTTTTCTGCTTTAGTTTCAGCAGAGGTGTTTAATTATTCCCCCTGGGCTTTTTTTTGTTAAATGGATCTAAAACAGAGATCAATTATACTAAACTGCTCATCTTTCTTAGGCTGTTTCAGTTTATCACCTCAACACTACAGATGGTGCAGATAATACAGGTTGCAGGTAGTTGTTTTGAATGTGCTATCTTTATTTTCTATTTTGTCGAACTAGATATACCTTGATTTCATCATTTTTATAAAAAGAAAATGTAGGGATAGAATTGTAACAAATAATTGTCAGATAGTTGTGTGTTTACCAGGAAATCAACAATTTATTAAATGAGACAATTAAATATCTCTACATTACAATGAATGGACCTCATACCTAAGCAAAATAATATTTTTTTACATGTTTTATTTAACCTTTATCTAATCTGCCAATCTTAGCAGATGCAGTCAAGGTCTGAACTGATCAAGATTTCTGCTTCGATTGAAAATGTTTCTTTCACAAAACGGTCCATTAGTAAAGCTACTGACCCAGATGTTTTATGTGCCTGGAAGGCCATGCTTTATGCTGAAGCCGATATCCAAGCAGCAAAACAACATCAATTTGATATAAATTGAAGTTTCTTGATTATCTTTGCATTATTTATCATGCTGGTATAGATTTAATAATGACTTACAGGGTTGACCGAAACATTGTTGAAACCTGTTTACATGGCATTCTATACATTTTTTGAAACTGATGTGATTTCCTCATTAAATAGGAAATAAGGACCAAAGTGTTTACATCCTCACAACTAATTCGCATTCTTTGTAGTAGCGCTCTACCAGTTTTCCGATTTTACACTTATAGATATTTCTATTGATTTTATTATGTTGTTTTTATGTGTTTTTATATGTCTTATTGTACTGCTGCCTCTTGGCCAGGTCTCCCTCAAAAAAGAGATTTTATCTCAAGGGACTTCCTGGTAAAATAAAGGTAAAATAAAATAAAATAAAAAAGATATTTCTGTCTTGTAAATTATCATCAGGGTATTTTCAACCATAAAAACCTGAAAATAAATGCAGAATTTATACATTTTTTTAAGTACAGCACTTGCCTGTTATAGTAGCTTTTTTAAAGAAATAAGAACATTACAATTCAAGGTTAGCTTTTAATATATTCAGAGGCCATCTAGATCAGTGATCTGAAGCAGTAAATCATTCTGACAAATGAATGAAATTCTATTAGGAGATAGCAGAAAGGGCTTTTATTATAGGTCCGTAATGGAAAGAGCCCCAGAGATCACCATTAATCAATGTTTAAAGGATTTGAACAAACCATGTTACAAGCACTCAACTAATAAAGGAAACAGTGCTGGACATTATTTGTCATTGTCCCTGGACATTCCTAATTTTAAGCTTTTGAGATCAAGGTGTTTCCTTCTTTAACTTCAGATTACATTTTTCAGTCTCATTTGGTGTGTGGATTAATCAGAGGAGAATAAGGAGAACCCCGAGAAAGCTATAAACACTGCATCGCCTTGTACCTGCAGTCATCTATAGATATGAGCAGCTGTTCTTGTTTTAAATGGAAGAATTGAGTGTGTTTGAAGCTGCGGAAATTCTGACATGCTATGTTTTTCTTTTTTATCTTGTGTGCAGTGCAGATGAAAGGTTTGATGCAACATTTCACACCAACATTTTGGTCAACTCCTCTGGTGCTTGTTCTTATCTTCCTCCAGGTAGGAATTTTTATCTTAGCTTGTACTCAGACTTTAAACAACTGATTATTATTCAAAGAAAACTTTGCCCTGTTGTTTTTACTTTGTTTTATCACCCAATTCTAAACTATTTTGATGTTTGTTGTTTTTTTCTTTTTGTTTAACCATGACCAGATTTATAATTCTGCTTCTAATGCACTGTGCGAAGAAGGAGGTTGTTGTAGGGCTCCCTGGATAGATATGTTGCAAATAAACTGCCTTGAGATGATATTCACAACGTTAGAATGCATGATAAAATCCATATGACATGCTTTTAACTACAAGTATTTTTGAGGCAAAGATATGTACAACGAAAATCTAAAGAGATGGAAGAAATGTGTCTTATTTAAAAAGTATTTGAGATCCAGTGTTTCTTCACTGAAACCAGCATTTGTTATACCATTTCAAAAAAGTTAAAGAAAACAGTCCACTGGACTTTGTTTTTGAAGATGTTTCAAAAATCAGGTTCAACATGCAAATTGAACCTGACAAGCAGGTCCGCCTTTACATAGACAGGTTTTGGGTATTACAAGCTAACAAAGAAACGAAACGACCCCCATTCTAAAGGGGCAACTTGCTCGTCAGGCTAAGTTTGCATGTTTTCTAAGCCAAAACAAGGCTTTGCTTTGGTCCACTCTATAAAGCCTTGAACTCAACGCTATTTCTGACATTTTGAATTGAAAAAGCTTCCTGGATGGGAAACATCTTCAAACTTGGAAACAAAGTCCAGTAAACTTTCTTTTTACTTTTTTGGAATAACTATGACCTGGATGACTGAGAATCTTCACCAGCATATTGTTATACCTTGCTAATGAGAAAGGATACAGTCATTGCCAATATGCCTGCCTGTTCTTGTCAAACCGGTTAACACTAACTGTGTAGGAAGCACACAGTTAGTGTTCTCAAAGTATTCTCAAAGACCATATACAGTTTCTGACAAACTGAAACATTTGTTGAAATAAGGATTCTGGCCTCTTAAGCTGCTGTCACACCTTGACGATTTAGCCAGCGTATGCCTGACATACGTTGACAAATTTCCTGACGTATGCCAGCGTATGCCATACATGGGGCATTAGGTTACAGGTACGTTATCTGATAGTTGACATACGTTAAGTGTAGGTTACCCATAAGTAGTGGTGTTTAGTTTATCCAAAACCTATGAGTAACTTATGCATAACTTCTGCGTATCAAGAATTCATCTCCAACATCTTTCAACGTATCTGATGTGGTCCAGAAGACCGCTGAACATGTTTCTAACTAACAGCTACTGTTTGATTTTTACAACCACAGCTTTCAAGGGATTCTAGAGAGAAATGGCTATTCTCTTCAAACCTGAGACGATTGGAGCAGTTTGCTCATTGCCCCTTGTGCTTGTTTCCTTTCCTCTTGGCTTCCTTCTAGTTAGTTCCACTCACACCTGCTCCATATTAGCCCATTATATACACCACCTCTGCAGTCCCTCACTGCTGGTTCCTTGTTGTTTGTTGGCCTCTTCCCTGGCTCCCTATGTGAGTTTCCCCCTGACGTATGCTGGTTTTTGGGCCTCACAATTTTTGTGTTTTTGGATGTTTTTCCTCATTTCTTCATTAATCCTACAAGAAATCATCTCTGCATTTGGGTCCTCAAGCAACCTCATCCCCCACGTTGACAATATATATGTATACAAGAAGGAATATTTAAGGATCTCCTCAATCTGACTGACATGCTTTCTGCAGTGGAAGAAGAGACTCTGTGCTCTAGGCTTGTTTTGCTCATCTCCCAGGCTGAAGTCACAACAATGGTAAAAAATTCCACAGTGGCAAGGCTACAGGGTTAGACGAGATCCACCCGGAGTACCTGACACACCTCTTTTGCATCGCCTGGAAGTCAGGTACTGTACAGTGTACCTGGATTGGCAGACTGGGCAGGTTGGTTCCTCTTCATAAGAAGGGGGACAGGAGGGTGTTTTCCAAATATAGGGGGATTACTCTTCTCAGGCTGCCCTGTAAGGCCTATGCCACAGTACTGGAGAGGAGAGTCCTTGCTTTTTGCCGAACTTCGGCTCCAGAAGGAACAGTGTGGTTTTTGTCCTGGCCTTTGAACAGTGGACCAGCTCTACACCCTCTGCAGGGTGCTCGAGGGTTCATGGGAGTTTGTCCAAAAAGGTCCATGTGTGCTTTCTGGACTTGGAAAAGGCATTTGAATCTGTCCTTCGTGGTGGCCTGTGGGAGGTGCTTTAGGAGTGTGCATTAAGGGAGCCCTTTACTGGGAGCCCCCTGATCTCTGTACAGGCAGAGCAGGAGTCTGGTCCACATTGTAGACATTATTAGGACCTGTTCCTGGTGCATGTTTGATCTCATCCCTGCTTGTTGCAGATGATGGGATTCAGCTGGCTCCCTCCAACCAAGTCCTACAGCATTCGCTGGTTTTTGGATTCCCCCTGGACGCCTCCTTCGGGAGGTGTTCCAGACATGTTCCACATGGAGGAGGCCCAGGGGACTATCCAGGACATGGTGGAGAGACTATGTCTCTCGACTAGCCTGGGAGCACCTCAGGCTTCCTACAGCAAGAGTAGCTGACTGTGGAGAGGGAAAACTGGGAGTCTGCTGAGACTGCTGCCCCTGGATGAACCAGAAGACGATGATAGATAGATAGATAGATAGATAGATAGATAGATAGATAGATAGATAGATAGATAGATAGATAGATAGATAGATAGATAGATAGATAGATAGATAGATAGATAGATAGATAGATAGATAGATAGATAGATAGATAGATAGATAGATAGATAGATAGATAGATAGATAGATATTAGACATGGTGTTAGACATTTATAACTCTTGCCGAACAAACTAGGTCAATCCTAACTTTTGCTTGTGCTCCATTAGAACACATTTGATGAATTTAAAGCAGCCCATCAAATATGCAGTGTGATGCACATATTTTTGATCATTAAGCCTTTTCACTTTTAGTTGAGCTGAAGCTGTCACATCACCCAGAATATAACTGCAACTTAGCATTAAGTCTCTTGTAAACTCTGTATTTGTATTGCAGTATATTCGAATAGAATAGAAAAATCTCTTTATTGTCTCACAGCCATCTTATGGAATTCACCTCTTCTTTTTAAGTGATGTGATTTCTTTATCACCTTTTCTTACAGCTTTGGAGCTTAAACATTTAGAACTCAAAATGCTGAGATATGTATGGATAATTTGGACTCAAATTATACCAGATTTTAGTTATACACCTTCGTATAAATAATATAAGTACATACTTTTATCATTTGTCTTCTAAATATATTCTAAAATCCCGGTACCTCCAAAAAAGAGAACATCATTTTAGTATGGTTGCATTTTATTTATACATAACTTACCAGAACTTTCTTTCTGATAAAGAAATATACAAAAGCAATAATCTATTAGAAAGTTATTGTTAATTTCGGTAAATGTTACTCTAATAATCTAACAAAATTTAAATCTAAGGAAATAAATTACTTTAAATATTTTAAAAATAATTTTTAACAGCAATGATATAACCTCTGGTTACTGCTTGTGTCCCCTTGACTGTCCTGTTATTCAGTGGTCACTACAACTAATCAATATAACATGCTCAAAGACATGGCAAAGTTTTTACACTGTAATGCCCTTCCTGACCCAACCAAGCTTTGAACCTGGATCCACTGCATTCAAGTCAATCAATTAATCCACTAAAACATGGGGACCTCATTACATCCTAATCACTTGAATAATTGGCCACTAAATGTTTACCAAGTGGCATCAGAAAAATCTGCAAACAGTTCATAAATAACCCTCCCTGTTTATGAAGAACTGTCTCAAGTTAGATTAAAATTTCTTGTCACAAACAGCTTTGCTGCTTTATTGCACAAACAGCACATGGACATTCAAATTTTGCTAACATACCTACTCCTCCTCTGCAGTCATGAATATTTCATTTCAATTCAGTTTATTTATATAGCGCCAAATTCTCAACACATGTCATCTCAAGGCACTTTACAGTTCAACCAGATCATACAGTCAAATTTATACAAAGTTTTCTATCTAAGGAAAACCAGTTGATTGCATCGACTCAAATACAATCCCTCACACTAAGCATGCTTGTAGCGACAGTGGAGAGGAAAAACTCCCTTTTAACAGGAAGAAACCTCCAGCAGAACCAGGCTCAGTGTGAGCGGCCATCTGCCGAGGCCGACTGGGGTTCAAGGAGACAGAAGCAGAGATACAGAAAGCAGCTGTAAAAGGCGGCCCCGTCCAGGAAACACACAGCCAGGCAGACAAGCTCCAAGGCAGCTCCCATGCCAGAGGACGAAGAGAGCACATCCAGCCAGTCACGGTCAGAGAAACAGGACCACACTGGAAAACAGGCCGATCTCCAACATCTATAAACAAGGGTGTTGATGGAAGCAGCACAGCTGATGTTTCTTTCCAGGATGACGTCACAGCCAAACAGGAACAGACAAGGCAAAGCTACTCTGAGGAAAAGCAGAGAGAGCAGAAGGTTAGAGATTGAACTAACAGATTCTGCAGTTAGGAGAACAGAGAGAGAATGAAGCAGAATGATGAAATGGGGGTCCCTATGTCCTCCAAAAGTCTAAGCCTATAGCAGCATAACTATAGAGATAGCTCAGGATAACCTGAGCCACTCTAACTATAAGCGTTATCAAAAAGGAAAGTTTTAAGCCTAGCCTTTAAAGTAGACAGGGTGTCTGCCTCACGGACTAAAACTGGTAGTTGGTTCCACAGGAGAGGAGCCTGATAACTAAAAGACCTGCCTCCCATTCTACTTTTAGAAATTCTAGGAACCACTAGTAAACCTGCAGATTGAGAGCGAAGTGCTCTGTTAGGAACATAAGGAACAATCAGATCTCTGATATAAGATGGAGCTTGGCCATTTAAGGCTTTATATGTGAGAAGGAGGATTTTAAATTCTATTCTTGATTTAACAGGAAGCCAATGAAGAGAAGCCAGGATAGGCGAGATATG